CATGTTCCTTCGTGGGTATGTGTACCCAGTGCAAAGTTGTTCTTTGGAAGTTTAAGAAATATATATATTGTCTTAAAGTGAACTCCTCTACCTAAAGTATTTATTAAATTAAATAATTAAATCATTTTATTATTTATATTATATATATAATCTGTCTGGGATTATTATTTATTATCTGTGTAGGGAAAGTATTTGTGTCAAGAGGTATTTTTCTGCTTTCAAGTTGAAGGCATACTGCTAATGTAATTCTATCATGGAATTTCTATTCACTAGCAAAAGCTGAACACATACAGGTGAATCTCCAGAAAGCTTCATATTTTCACACAGTAGAAAGATCCTCATGTCCTGTTCTTACCTTGTCCTGACTCCTGTTGGACATGCCTTATTTCCTGTATAAACTTGCATCACTAAGAAGACAGTAAATTCTTACTCACTTTGTTAAACATACATACTTTTCCGTAGAAGAGATGCATAAAAATATATTTATTTCCCATAAGGGCACTTGTGCTATTCGTAATATATTATGCACCAAATGTCATACTGTATTTATTCCCTGGCATTTTCAGCCCTGGCAACTGGCAGATTGTTTTGAAGTTGGAGAATATTTAAACTACAGGTAACCTTGGGGCTTATATAGTTCAGCCCATCTGTGTTACAGGAGAGGACACTGAGATCAAGAGAAACTCAGAGACTTCCTCTGGGTAACATAACATTTTGTCCAGTTGGACCAAAAGGTAGGTCTTTGTGGAACATTCCTTCTATTATTTTCCCCCATCCTCTTCATCCTTTTTAGAAATATGGCCTTGGGCAAAATTCTCTCTATAAAATGGAATAATTATTCTTGTACTGGTCACCATCTAGAGTTGTTGTGAAGTTCCAGTGAGATACGGTGTGCTATAGAAATGTAAAGAATGAGGTAGAAGGAAGATGAAGGTCCTCACTTCATTGTCAGCCTATCGCATCATTCCGCTGTACTGAACTATTTAGGCTGTTTTATGTTGGGTTGTTCATAGGGAGTCTCTTGTTATGCATGTATGCCTGATTACTCTAAATTTTTCTACTACCTGATTAATAGAAGCCCAACCCTCTTATTTCTGTTGTATTAGGTTGAACCATAGGACATTGCCAATATTTGACCATTTTAGAAGAAGAGCAGTTTTAGAGGAAAAGCAGTTTTGTATTCTTGAACTTCATCTGTGGGCTGAAGTATGTGGTAGGCTATACAGGCGGAGATACCTGTAAATGTTTTAAGTAAGTGGAAAAGTATGTAAAGCTCCTTCATGTTAGCAGTAGCTGCGTGGTATTTGTCTACTCTAGAGGAACACTTGGGTCTGGATGAATTTCTTTCCTAGTTTCTGTTTCTATAAACTTCTAGACTGCCTGCCTGAACACAAAAGCTCAGGTGGGGATAGGGAATGGGTGACTGGCTGTATGTGGGTGCTGAGCCCCTTCAGCCATTTATTCTGGCCTTCATTCTTTAACTCAGGAAGTTGTGCTGTATGCAGTGGTTATACCACTTCTTCAAAGGACAGACTTCCACGGTTTTCCAGAGAAATTTGTCATCTATAGAGGGAGAATAAGGAATAAATTCATGTGTTTTTCAAACTGAATATTAAAATACTTTTGATTTAGTTAGAATCCGTTAAGGAAGGTTTGTTAACCCTTTAAAATATGAGACTCGGCTGGATGTAGTGGCTCACAAGCTTTGGGAGGCCGAGGTGGGTGGTTCACTTGAGATCAGGAGTTCAAGACCAGCCTGGCCAGCATGGTGAAACCCCGTCTCTACTGAAAATAAAAAAAAAAATTAAAAAAATTAGCCGGGCATCGTGGCACGTGCCTGTAATCCCACCTACTCAGAAGACTGAGGCAGGAGAATCGCTTGAACCTGGGAGGCGAAGGTTGCAGTGACCGAGATTGTGCCACTGTACTCTAACCTGCGCAACAGAGTAAGATTCTATCTCAAATAAATAAATAAATAAATATATGAGACTCCTGAAATGCTATATTGTTGTTTAATATTATTTAAAAATAAGCTATTTATAAAATGACAAATATTGTAATCAAGTTTTATTTGATTAAAGAAAGAAGATAGCTTTAGGCAATGAAGTCTAAATAGAATTCTGGTTTACCATTTGCCCATCACGTTCCGTACAATTGTTAAGTCTAAATAGAATTATGGTTTACCATTCACCCATCATGTTCCATACAGTTGTTAAGTCTAAATAGAATTCTGGTTTACCATTCACCTGTCACATTCCATACAGTTGTTAAACTTTGGCCTGATGATGTCTTCACTTGGAATGTTCTTCTCTCATCCAGATACAATGCGTTCAGTTCAACCAATGCTTTATTTTAACGTATTTGCGAGTCTCTGACATCCTTCAGTTTAATTTAGGAAGCTTGTGACTACCTGTCTAGGAAAATCTCTTAGACAGTTGCTCCTGTTTCTTAATAATTAGAAAGATCTTATTAATTTGTTAATTTCTGAAGTCCTATATTAAAATTATGGGGATAAGTTGTTTGTTGGCTGGAAAGGGGCACAAAGAACTTTCTGAGGTGATGGAAACATTCTTAATCACGATCTGGGTGGTGGTAACACCACACGTGGATATGCAAAAATTCATCTAGTTGTATACTTAAGATTGATATACTCTAGTGTGTATACATTAAATATAGGACACAAATCCAATCTCTAATTTGTAGTAGTTCAGGAAATATAAAAAAAATAGAGAAACCAAGGCAGGTGAAGGAAACAGTTTTTCTGGAAACTGTGAGAATGTGTCACAAAGGAAGGCTGAGGCTTCCTGGGCTCCTTGGGCCAAAATTAGGGGAAGAGTTGGTGCCAGTGCCAGTGACACAAGCTGATTAAAACAATCATAACAGGAAGAGTCTTACACGATTCTTCTTTTTTGTGGATTTTTCTGTCTCTTACTGTGTATACCCAATAGGTTTGCTTGGTCATTTTTGTTTGTCTTCTTCAGTCTGAATTCCTGTCCTCCATTCCCATGGCATCAGGGTCAAGGCAGTGAGCAGTGTGGAGAGTCAAAGAAGGGGCATTGGAAGAGGGTACTAGGCACTGGTTGTAAATCAGGTATTTATAAGTCTAGAGGGAAACCTCTACCATAGCCTGGCAGCCAGCCGCAAGGCTGAGATGGTGCTGTTATAGAAATCACCTAGCAAGGGAAAATTCTGGGTCCTCAATCTTATCATGGAATGTGTAGTGGTGCAGCCAATGAACAGGAGTACAGGCCATTCAGGGGAAGAGGAATGCTAATAATCATACCCTAGTGAGGATGAGAGGGGAAACAGAAGAGTGGAAATTTTGTCCAGCCTTCTTGACCACAACTGGCTGGTTACCCAAACTTGAGGTTTTACTTGGGACATATAATAGGGCTTCACTTGTACCATGTAAGCTCCAATTGGACTTGGCACTCTTCCTGGTCCTTCGTGGTGGTTTTCTTAAAAAGAATGAGTTATGGGGGAATATTTTCAGTTACATGCTGTACATGAATGTGCATTCCAGAACAACACACACTTCAATAAGTAATGAGATGGTCAGGTGCTATACTGTGTGCCATACCAGGTGTCATCAAGCTGTACCAGTTTCCAGCTACGTGCAAGTTGGAACACCATAGAATTTATACAGCAAATATGCATTAACTTATCATTTGAATGTCATGGAAGGTATCATATTTTATCACTGAGATTAACTTAAAAATTGCATGTTCTGAGTAAAATATGTACATTTAGATCACGATGCCTACTTAGAACATGAAATATTCATGTTCAAATAATGTTGGTATTTGCTCAAATAATGATTGAGGACTATATTTCTTTTTATGTGATGATCCTGATAATAATGTTTTGCTACCATTGTATCCAACTTTTTGATTTTCAATTAATTACCTTTGCAAGTGACTATATAATCTTTCTTTGTAAAATCACTCCATTTGTATCCCTCCTCTTTCAAATCACTTTGATTTTCCCCTGGATCTCCATATGCAGAGTATCTTAAGTGTCTATTTGTAGCAGTGATTTCCTCTTTCACTCTATTTCTGAATCTTCTGCTGCTGCCAGGTATTTCTACTTGGGTATCCCAGTGTGGCCTTGAACTATAAAACTGAACTCCTCATCTTCCTGCCTTCTTTCTTCCTCAGAACTCCTTCCGCAAAACCAGCTGTGATTTTTTTTCCCCTTTTTTCTTAGATTAGAAGCCTCCCAGACATCCTTGACTCCTTTCTCTTACTTTCTCATGGTGTGTAGTCCAGTCAAGCCTGAATTTACGGGCTCTGTTTCCAACTATTTACCTTCCTGAATCTTCTTTTCCAGCCAGTGGTTTGACTCATTATTTCCTGAGCCTCCTTCCCCTGGCCACACTCCGTGCTCAAGCTCCAGTGTTTCCCACAGAAGTCATTCCTTCCCTTCCTCACCCATCCATCCAGCTCCTGCCCAGACATCAGCACTCTAAAGGCTTACCTCCTCCTCAGTGCCACAGTCTGCCCCACCTCCAACTTCCTTCTGTGGCTCTTACTGTCTGTGTAGGCAATTTCATAATTTAACTTCTAACAGTTTATGACAGTTCTTTCTTGTGATGACTTGAATTGCTTTTCACTTCTTTAGTTTTTCAAATATTCATATGTACAGTTAGACTGTCAGTGCTTCCAGAGTGAGAGTCTTTGCCTTACCTATATGCTCCGTAATGCCTAACATAAACTAACACTAAAGCGAAAATTCTGTGAAGGCCAGAATTTTTATCAGTTTTTTTTCACTAGTAAATCCTTAGCACCTGGCATGTAGTAAGTATGTAATAAATATTTGCTATATAAATGGTAAATGTTCAATAAACGTTAATTGATTTAATATTATTCACACCTGCGACATCCTTTTTTCACTATAACTAAAAGATTATTATAGTGAAAAAGGAAGTGAATGCAATGTATAGCCAGAATCTGCTCAATGGGGCTTGACCACTCCTTCTAAAGAATTATGTTTTCCTGCAGATATTAATGAATGTCAGCTACAAGGTGTATGCCCTAATGGTGAGTGTTTGAATACCATGGGCAGCTATCGATGTACCTGCAAAATAGGATTTGGGCCGGATCCTACCTTTTCAAGTTGTGTTCGTAAGTAATAATCACTTTTTAGTCCTATTTTGGATTAATTGTCTTTGGGGTTTTCCCAAAAGAACGGAAATGCTTAGTGGCCAACTGAATGCTTGTAAATATGCGGAAAACCTCATTAATTAAAATGACAAGGAGGGGGCCCGCCTGATGTAGTAAAATAAATCTATATCATGGAACCTTCTCTAAAATGCGTTTTTATTGTGGTGATAAAAATATAGTAGCTAAAACTCAGGATAAAGACAAAGCCCACTGAGGAAATACGCTTTGATGGAAAGAAAAGAGGGAATTAAAACGGACATATCAACCTTTCTTGGTACCTGAGAGATGACAGTAGGTTTTTCTGTCATAAATACAGTATTTTAAGGATTCTTTAGGTTGAATTAAACTGTGTCCCAGCTTCTGCCTTTAAGTATTCCAAATTCTGAGTCTCTGGACTCAACTTTAGTGAGGTTTCACTTCTTTCTCAATTGCAAGAGTCTGGAAAATAGTTACCAAGGCCCTGTGTTTTAGATTTTCTAATTCAGTTCTGATTTCAGATATTGTCTTGTTCTTTAAACCCACCAAAATGACCCTATATTATAGTGTTTTGCCTTAAAAATGTTTCTGAGACTTTCCCTTGTTTCTGATAAGGGTAAAAATCCTTCATCAAACCACATGTTCTAATATTGGTTCTGAACTATAGTTTCACCAAAGAGATACTCCCTCTGCATGTAAAGTAATCCATGTAATCACTACAGATCATGTGCCATTAGAGAGGAATGCATTTTAGGTGTAAAGTTCTCAAATGCAGATTTGAGATTTTAAGATTGTCATATTTTTAAAGTAGTCATGCCCATTATTACAAAAGCAGGTAAGCACTGCAAGGTTTTTTTTTTTTTTTTTTTCTAAAGAGATGAGGTCTTGCTATGTTGCCTAGGCTGGACTCAAATCCTGGACTCAAGTGATCTCTGTTCAGCCTGCTGAGTAGCATGACTATAGACGTGGGCCTTGTAGCACTGCAGATTTTTAAAAGTTATATAGAGTTTAAACGGATGCATGGCAGAAAACTATTAGGATAATTTTAAGAGCAATTGTGTATTAGTTTCTTTCCTGCAAGTTTTTTGTTTTTATCTGTCTGTCTGTCTATCTATCTATCTATCTATCTATCTATCTATCTATCTATCTGTCTGTCTCTGAGACGGAGTTTCACATATGTCACCCAGGCTGGAGTGCAATGGTGTGATCTCCACTCACTGCAACCCCCGCCTCCCGGGTTCAAACGATTCTCCTACCTCAGCCTCCCAAGTAGCTGGGATTACGGGCATGTGCCACCACACCCAGCTAATTTTTGTATTTTTAGTAGAGACACGGTTTTGCCATGTTGGTCAGGCTGGTCTTGAACTCCTGACCTCAGGTGATCCACCCGCTTCAGCCTCCCAAAGTGCTGGGATTACAGGTGTGAGCCACCATGCCCGACCACTTTTATTTAATTTTTAATGTGGCTTTGGTATATAATGAGCTGCATCTTTCTTGTCCCTAGTTGGAAATTTGCCATTTGGTTGACATGTTCTTCATGAGTATACTGCCATTCATTTTTAACCAAGCTTCTCTCTCTAACTCTGTGCCCTAAGGTGAGATATCTACATATCTCATAAATAACATATCTCATAAATAAAATAACTAAAATAAAATAAGGTGATAAAGACAAATGTAGTAAAATAAAAATGACAGTCTCGTTTATTACTTTTACGTGAGTTTGTTGAGTCTTTTGAAATGTTATTACTAATTACTACTCTTTTCCTTTAAAAACTGTCAACAGCAGATTAGGAAGTTTTACACGTAAGTCCTCTTTTCTGTGTTCTTTTACAGACAGTTTTGATCATGAAGCAGACAGACACCTAATTATAAGGCTTTCCTAACGGGTGGTAAAATTAGACCATAAAATTATGTTTGCACACAAGGTACCTTTGAAACTGATGCAAGGATTTGGAAATTTCAGGCCAAAAATCACATTGTTGATGGTATCCAGATAACTTAGGGGATCATTTTTGGCTGATTTGAATTATATTAACAAAATATTTTAAATCATTTTATAATTTAAGCATAAAGATTGTAGAGTTTGGATATAGAGTTTGTTATGAATGCTTTTCCCCCTCTTTTATAATTTGACTTGTAGTCTGTTTACAATTCTTATATTGAAGGTTGCTGATTAGGTAAACTTGCAGAACTAGTCACAAAATGCTCTGTGAAACTTTGACTAGATCTGATGTCTAGAGTTTAGGGCAGACATCCAGGTTTTAATAAGATTGTAGCAATCTGCCAATGAGATTTTTGAAACACTTGCATATTTCCTTAGCATATTTTCCCTGTCATTGCGCAAATAATTCTGAACTTATTAAACAACCATCCATTCTTATTTGAAAAATAAATAATTCAATTTTACGGTTCAGCTACAACAGCTGAAATGGTGGTAAGTATTAAGAGACGTTTGTTGCTAGTTAAGTGTTCCAGTTGAGAGTTTGAAGTGAAAACCTGGGCTCTTTACCAGTGTTGAGTGAGAAGATTTATTCCTCTTTCCTCTGAATTTACCACATGTAACATCACAGAGACATATAGAGTTCCTTTAGGATTTGCGATTTGAACCAATCCAGTCTGATTTTCGGATGAATTCTGTGAAGAACTTGATGGGGGAAGTCTGAAGACAGAAAGAATTAGGGAAGAAGGTGATACTTACAGAGGAAAGGAAAAAAATGGAAAGATAATGGTATTTTTGGTAGCCACAGGGAAGTAGCAGAGGGGACTGGAGATCACACACACGCACGCGCGCGCGCACACACACACACAGACACATGCAGACACAGGCACTCAACACAGTGGTTGCTAAATGTCTGCTCTGGAGAGAGATAAAACCAGCCAGGGGTGAAGCCTGCAGGCAAATGAAGGATACTGACAACATTTGCTAAGACAACATGAATTTAGGCCATATCCAGAGCATACAAGGCGTGGCTGACTCTCTGAACCACCCTGCACTAGATTATGCCCAAGGAGCAACGGGAAGCACTTTCTCTTCTTGAATGCGCTGAACTGAGGTGAACCCCCCCAGAATTCCTTGGCTCCAGCCAAAGGTTGCAACAATTTCACTTTCTCTCCTTGCTGCTTGCCTTGGCTTAGCCAAGCTAAAAGGAAGAAAGTAGGCAAATGCTGGCATTTGCTGCCTCTGACCTCTATGTTTGAGGCTTAGGATGATGTAGCAGCCTTCTCCAGACCTGTTGCTACCTGATTTATGGGGAAAGGTGGAAACTCAAGGACTTTCCAGAGCAAATTCAAGAAAAGTATCATAATCTTTGCGATCGAAGTAGGAAGACTTTCTGGCTTTCTGAACTCCTTCAGGAACTTCAGAGCTCCATGATGAGTGCTGCTGAGAGTGTGTCCATAGGTTCAGTAAAAAGGCCCAGATAAAAGAATTCTGAGCCTGGGCTTTTGCTGTTTCATAGTATTCTTTACCTGTGGACTTGGAGCTAGCTGACAGAAGTGGAGGGTTAGAGAGAAGATGTGCTCAGGAGCTTCTGCCGCAGTCCTGGAAGTCATGAGATAAAGGACAAGTGCCTTTTAAAAGCCGGTCTTCATTAGGTACATCATTCATTTGTAATTTCCTGAGCATCTTTATGAGAAACATACCATGCTTATCTTATACACTGGGAAGCTAAAGCTAGGAAAGTTTAAGTAGCTTCTCACACAGCTAGTAGCTGAGAGTTGAGATTTAAAACAGGATTTGTGCCTCCAAATTTAGGGTTCTAGATCAGGGGTTGGCAAATTATAGCCCATGGGCCAACTCTGTTTTTGTGAATAAAGTTTTATTGGAATGCAGCCATGTCCATTCATTTACTTACTGTGTGATGCTGCTTTTGTATTACAGCGACAGAGTTGAGAAGCTGCAACAGAAATTGTATGGCCCACAAAGCCTAAAATACTTATCTGACACTTAACAGAAAAAGTTTGCTGACGCTCAAGCTAATTAACACTGTCCAATAGAACTATCTGAGATGATGGAAATATTCTCCATCTGTGCCACCTCATACAGCAGCCACTAGTCATATATGGCCTGTGTAACTGAGGAATTGAATTTTTACTTTTATTTAATGTCAGTTTTATCCAAAGAGCAGCATGTGGCTAGTGCCTAACATATCGAGTGGCGTAGCTTTGTATCCTTTTTGGCAAAGCCAAATGGGTAAATTAATGCTAGCTTTCCAGCTTTTCCCTTAAAATGGGCTTTCCTTCCAGACTTGATATCTTTATACCCATGGTAACATTGTTGTCCAGAGCACCCTGGCTGGGAGCCTGTGTCATCTTGTTCTCTTGATCTTTTGGTTTCAAAGGATGCCATTTAGTCTTCATAATTTATCTTAGGCCTGTTCTTTTCTTTCTACCTCCTCTGCGGCCATCTCAGATTAGGCCCCTAGCCTCCCTCACTTGGAGGTCTCATGGCACCGTGGCCCAGAGGTGAGACAGAGCTGTACCAACTGCTTGCTCCCAGATTATTACAGTAACAGTGAAAACCATGACAATAATAATTTTTATTGCAAACTTCGTAAATGCCACGCACTGTGCTAAGCACTTTATGTGAATTATCCCATATAATACTCACAAGATCTCTATTGGATTTGTACTGTTATTTTTTCTAATTTAGAAATGAAGGAATTGAGGCACAGAGGGGTTAGGAATCTTTCCAACAGTCAGACAGCCTATAAAGGGTAGAGCCCACATTTGGAACTGGATCTGTCTCACTCCACAAGCTGAACCTTTAGTCAGGAGACAGTAAACAGTCCGAAATGCCAGGAGTAAGTCATTTATTTAAGGAGAACTGATATTTTCGTCTCACCGGCCACACTATAGAATAGGTGACCTAACTGCAATGGCCTTGAATTATTGTTGCTTTTATTTTGGTTCTCCACGAATTGTGGTGTTTGTTTGTTTGTTTGTTTGGTTGGTTGGTTGGTTTGGTTTGGTTTTTTGAGAGGAAGTCTTGCTCTGCTGCCCAGGCTGGAGTGCAGTGGCGTGATCTTGGCTCACTGCAAACTCCGCCTCCTGGGTTCAAGTGATTGTCCTGCCTCAGCCTCCTGAGTAGCTGAGATTACAGGTGTCTGCCACCACACCCGGCTAATTTTTGTATTTTTAGTAGAGATGGGGTTTCACCATGTTAGCCAGGCTGATCTGGAACTCCTGACCTCAGGCGATCTGCCCACCTCGGCCTCCCAAAGTGCTGGGATTACAGGCATGAGCTTCCACCCCCAGCCATGAATTGGTTTTTAATGACACATTTCCCAGTTGGAGTGCCCAGTAGTTCTTACTGCCCTGGGAAAGCTGCCTCTCAGACTCCTCATAGCAGCTTTACCTACTTCCTAGACCTGCATCCTAACACTTATCCTCATAGATACTAAGCTGTGAAGGGATTAACTGCTAATGTGGAATTTCATCCAAGAAATAATTAAGGATATTACAGATGTGGGTGGGAGTGATTGCAGACTAGTAAGGTTAGCTAGATCTTTATACCCTTGCTGTTTTCTGAAATCCTCCCTACTTTTCAACTTCTTTTAAGTACCAGATTAATTAATATCTGCTTAATATTTGTCGTTCACATTTTAACCCACTTATACCTAGTGTTCCATTATTGGAATGCTAAGCTTGTGGGAGTTATTTATATCCTACTGCTCAAGGTCATTGCAGTAGGTCTGATTTTTCACACACACACACACACACAATTTGCAACTTTCAGCATAAATGGATCAATACATTAGAGTAGTATGTCTTTGAAAGTATAATGTGAGTTTATTATACGATCCTATAATTAAGGCCATAATTAAATATAAGTTGCTTAATGTATCACTGAGGAACCCAAGCGATAGTACCTTAGCTTTTTACTGTTGTTTTGTAATTGAATTGCCATCACCATGGGCTCTGTGGTTATGATTCAGTACTGTACTTGGGTACAAAGCTATATGCTTGTGACCAGTTTGAAAATTTGTCTTATGTCTCTAGCCAAGAGCAAACAAAAATTACTTTCCTGGTGAATGTTGCATTTTCAGTAGGTTTTATGCTTCTGAAGTGCTTTTGCCTTTAGATAAAGTATCAGAATCTTTTTGCTGTAATTTTAGTGACACATCCTGCACAAAATAGGATCTGACAAAGTGCTATTTCAGTGTACATACATGTAAGAGCCTACAGGCACCCTTCATTATCACCCCTCAGTTTTATTCGATTCTAGAGCTGTTTCCCCTCTTCCTTTGAAATCTTTTGGCATTTCTAGTTTTCTTTAGTATAGCATAAAACCTTATGACTCAGTAGAATATATAATCACATGTACCATATTTTAAATAATAAATGTAGTGCACTAATGTGTTATCCTTTACAATTAATCTTCTAATCTGAGGTTAAAGATGTTCAGACAATAGCAACACCAATCTTACATCATTCTGGGTAGCATCTTGTTTCTGGGTTTATGCATCATGTTGACCAGAGTGTGAAAATACTAGAGATGTTTAATAAAATAAACAGAATGCAAGTCATTTGAAATGACAAAAGAACAACAGGCAATGTAGGTACTAAAATAGGGGCAGTTTTAAATGGCACACCCTGTCAGGTATATGTGGCATAAATGAACAGTTTTGGCTTCAAATAGGTGTAGATCAAAGAAAATGTGAATTGTGAAAGCATCAGTAAAATTTAGATATGGGAGAGGCTTTAAAGTAGTTGACTAGAGGCATCTGGTGCTCACCTCCTCCACAAAGAAGAACCAAAATAGCAAGTAGATAATCACACTTCGAACAGATCACCTAACAGAGAACACTGAAGTTCAATAGAGAAGTGACAGGAAACCCCTAAGGCAGGGAAGGAGAGGGAACCAAGGCAGCCTGCTCGGCCAGGATTAGCTGAGAGCCTGGGGAGGCTCCCCAGTGTGAGGAAAGGGTAAATGAGAGACCTCCAGTGATCCACATTCCCGTGTGAATTCCTGCAATCCTAGCCACAGGAGAGCCCTTTGGCCCTCACAGACTCTGAGACTAACCTAGGGAGCTGCCTAGAGACCTCGTGATGGAATTGCTGCTGAAAGGGAGCTCCCGCACGCTGGGTCCCACACACACATTCTGAGTCTTAAGCAGGTCCCACCGCCACTGGCACCTGAGCACTCCCCTCAGAGGCCCAGGCCAGGCCCACCCAATGTACCACTACCATCACAGCTGGCACTCACCTGTACGTACCACCTGTGGGCCTGGGGACTGGCCTGCCCAGCCCATTGCAGCCACTGACAACACCAGCATGGACTGCGTGGGAAGCAGAGGGTTGTCTCACCACTGCTACTGCCATCACCTGTGCTATACCCACTGCCCAGGGACTTGAGGACCTGCCTGGCTAACTACTATCGCTGCTGGCACCTAAGCAAGCCATGTAGAGACCCAAGAATTGGCCCACTTGGACCCACTAACACCAGTGCCCGTGTACTCTGCCCTCGGGCCTAAAGACAAACACACTTGGCCCACCTCTGCTACCACTGGGACCTGAGGACTGGCCCACCTGGTAGCCTCCTCAGCAAAATTTTATCACAGAATCCACTAGCAACTGTACCTTAAGGCAATGCAGAAATTATAGACACCACTGATGCCATTTACAGCTGAAGAAATCCTATGGAGACTACACTACTGCGTGTACCCAGAATCAAAGCCAAAGTGCCCTGCCCAGATAGCACCACAGATAACATCTTCAGGAAGTCCTCCCCTAAAAAAGATGATAGAGGAATTGGGTAAGGGACAGGCAAGTCAGAAAACCTCATTTGGATGGTGATATGATAGAGAAGAGCCCTGGTTGGGTTTGGGGAATGGGCAGAGGGGGGACACCAAACTGTCTGATTCAGCACCTTTGACTTGACCTGGACCTGGTTCTGTAGAACACACTCCATTCATATTTGCATTAGAAGATGAACTTCTTGAAGGCAGGGCTGTCTTTTGCTTATTTTCATATTTGCCATGTGTGCCTAGCAGAGTATTAGCTGTTAGGTTGATGAACTCTTATCTACTAAACGCATTGCAGAAGATTAAGATTAAGGTTTAGATATTGGATGCCTATATACTTTTGTATATAGCCTCATATACTTTTGCAGTGTTTTCTGAGGAGCTGAGCACATCATCTCTTCCTTCTCCAGTGTGCTGTCTGGCTAGAACAGGGGCCTTGTCTGGCACTCCAAATCAGAAGCCACTTTCTGCCTCCTGTTCATATTCACTGGCCTAGGGTGAGACCTGACGGGCCCTGCAAGCTCTCACTTCCTTGGGGTGAGAAGAGCAGATGCTGGCTTGCAGCATCAACCATGTTCCTCATTCTCCAAAGTGCCTGATTATTCATTAAATGCTGCCCTAGAATTATCTCTACTGTGGTTAAATATAGAAAACTAGGTAGTGATTTTGATAGTAGGTGACTAGGTTTATTTGGAAAGGTGGGTTTTTTTGTTGAAATTTTTCTTTTCATTATGCACACATACCTAATTGCATGCTTGCTAAAATGGAAGAAGGGACCAGAGAGGGACAGGGACAATCACTGTCACAACTTTTGGTGCCCTGACTCTAAAACTCATATGGTAAACTGATTTTTCATTAGAAAGGTGATGCTCTTAATCTAGGCAGATTTATCCTGCAGTATGGTTTTTAATTCATACCTTAGGGTTCATTTTACTGTCATTTGGAAAGCCAATGTAGTTTTGGTTTCTCATGTAATGTCAGGCTTTATCTCTCTGCTTCAGCTGATCCCCCTGTGATCTCGGAAGAGAAAGGGCCCTGTTACCGACTTGTCAGTTCTGGAAGACAGTGTATGCACCCTCTGTCTGTTCACCTCACCAAGCAGCTCTGCTGTTGTAGTGTGGGCAAGGCCTGGGGCCCACACTGTGAGAAATGTCCCCTTCCAGGCACAGGTAAGACATTTTCAGCTGTATGCGCACATAGATTCCCAGCCACATGAGTACACAGGACAACTTTGGCAACTTGGGTCATTTTTTGTTTCTGACTTTAATTTTTAATAATACATTGTAAATACTTTTATCACTTTTATAGAAACTGTACACATACAATGTTGAATCAGTGGGAAAAAAATATGTACGAAGAGATTTTTCCCGTTTAAGTGTGATATCAGACTTCCTTTTGAATATTAAGAAATGCCATTATATTTTATCTTCAATTTCCAGGACTCTGAGTCTGATACTTAAGTGTAGAGAGACCAGAAGGCTCTGTTGGGCCATGTGCTTTCCTAATGATTGGCTGCTCATCAATTCACAGTAACTGGACTTGGTGCAGGTTGATTCATTTACTCATTTACTGAGTATCGTGCTTAATTTCTTTAATTGGAAATGGAGGGAATTATATTCATGATTGAATTTACGCTATGAAGATTAATAACTTAAGGACAGATCTTGCCAAAACTCCTGAAAACTTCTGTGGGAGTTGAGTATTAAGAAGTAGATTATTCTTTATCCTTCGATTTGGTACATAATTGCCTTATGCCCTGAGAATGCAAATTTCTCTCTTTAAATATCTTACTTCTACCAATGAACCACCAACTTCTCAAGCAAGATGAAGTAGAGTTAAGTGGAAGAGAAAGAAATGTAACCTGAAATCATTAGACTTGATATTAACAAGGAATGGCCTCAATTTCACTTACTTGGGGTAGACATTAAATGGTCTCCTCAATTGCATGTTGGATAAGATGCTTTCCACCTAGGAAAGTGTCTTAACTGTCACAGGGCCATGTAATGTCTTAAAGCTGTAACTTACACCATAGCAGACAAGATTTAAATATAAGTATTATGACTCACCTTTGTTCATGGTTAGAACCAGAAAGAACTGCGTTAAGGTAAAGGATAATACAACATTGATGGTATATTGGTAGACTAGATAATTTTAGGCCTCCAAAAGGTCCTAGTACCCTCTTGTGCCATCTGATCCATTTTTTTTCTTTTTTCTTTTTTTTTTTTGAGATGGAGTCTCGCTCTGTTGCCCAGGCTGGAGTGCAGTGGCGTGATCTTGGCTCACTGCAAGCTCAGCCTCCTGGGTTCATGTCATTCTGCTGCCTCAGCCTCCCAAGTAGCTGGGACTATAGGCGCCCACCACCACGCCCAGCTAATTTTTTTTTTTTTTTGTATTTTTAGTAGAGACAGAGTTCCACTATGTTAGCCAGGATGGTCTTGATCTCCTGACCTTGTGATCCGCCCACCTCAGCCTCCCAAAGTGCTGGGATTACAGGCGTGGATACTCATTATTAAAAATTAATCAAGTAAATAATCTTTATAATTTATAGACACGTTTCTCATGAAGTTCAGTTTTTAAAGCTTTCAGTTTGTGAATTTATTATGCATATTATTGTGTGTCTGTATAATGTGTTTTTAATTTAAAAAATTTTTTTTAATTTTTAGCTTTTAAGTTCAGGGGTACAAGTGGAAGCTCAATTTTGATGGCTTTGTAATCCTTACATGAAACATAAATTGAAATGGTGACTGTAACTCAGGGATACTCCTCTAGTACTATCAATAAATTTGAAAATAATGTTCAAGATAAAATTTTTGCACTGAATTTTTGGTTATATGGTGATTTTCACTAAAAATATTTAGTTCATTAATTCTTTAAACTTGGTTCTTAAAATCATGTTTTCTTCTAGAAACATCTTTCCAAGTAAAAATTGTTTTTCCTAGTTAAACATAAGAATGAGGTTCTACCATTTAGTGTGTGATCCTTAGAAAAACAATATTTTAGCATACTATAAGCAGTATTTTTAGAGTTTCCTTTTTATTGAGAACTAATTTTAGGTCCCAGACATCCAATAGAAGATCTCTTGTTCAGGGAAAGTGAGACATGACTTATTTTACATTCAATTTTAAAAGTAGAAATAAAAAAGTTAACCATAAGCTCCTTGGTGTCTGCATTTGGTAATTTGCCTCCAACACCAACACCAAAGGGATTAGGTGGATTTTTCCTCTGAAGGCCACACACTGCCTTACCCTACTTCTCCCCCTTGCCTTTCCCCTTCGCTATTCATCGGGATTATGCTGTGGAGGTTAGCAAATCACATGTGCTGAGTCTACTTTTTTTTTTTTTTTTTTTTTAAAGAATACAAAACCATTTTTTTCTGGCAATGATAGTGATTCCAGTGCACAGGATAGCTCCTTGGCCTCTGGGTAATTAAATGAGCTGGTCACGGCCAGGCTTTTGCCCAGCTATTGTTCCTTTACTTGAAAATAGCTGCATCTTGATTTGGCATTTCCCTTCTTTCTCGATTTCTACCTATCATCTCCAGCATGTCTCACTTCTCTAGACTCCTCCTCACTATTCCGAGATTCTCCCCTTCAGAAATACTTCCCCTTTTCAGTCTTCCGTAATCGACATCCTCTTACCAGCTGATACATGGCATTTTGGTGGAGCCCTTTGTGTTCTTCAACTGGAAACAAACCGTGAGGATTTCAGCATCTCATTTCCCTGAATAGTGATTTTTTTTTCCTTTGGTAACCTTATGGCTCATCATCAGTGTCACTGAGTTCTTTGTTAATAACTAATGAAATTACATCAAAGTGGGGAGAAAAGCCTGATTTTTGCAAATAACACATATGCTTACAACATGAGATATATAATACATATAGTGTCTTCTATATATAAAATATCTCCTAATGTATAACCTAAGATATATATAATATTGTCTAATTGGTTGCTGATATATATGGGATGGAGGGCTAACTACATATATATATAGTTACCTCTATCCATGGTTATGCATCAATGGATTCAACCCAATTGGTTGGTTGCATCTGTGGATGCAGAACTGGATATGGAGGGCTGATCAGACTATGCAATTTTATGTAAGGGACTTGAGCATTGCAGATTTTGGTATCCACAGGGGGTATCCTAGAACTAATCCCTCATGGATACTGAGGGGTGACTATGTATATAATATGATATATAAAATATATGCTAAGTATATGCTATACATAATATGTATATTCTGATTTGGTAGGATAAGGAATTACCAGATGGAAAAATGTTTAGTAAAAAAAAGAGTTGTACTTTTTTCTGTAAATATGCAAGTTTATCAGAAATTCAAGCAATTTGCTTACATTTTGCACCTGTTTTTGAAGTTTTAAAATGTAACTATATTAGTGATGATTTATTAAGAGCTATTCATCATGATATTTTCCTCTGTATAAGTTTGCACTGTTAGATTTTTAAAAGGAATATTTTCCCATCCCAAATCTAGCTGCTTTTAAGGAAATCTGTCCTGGTGGAATGGGTTATACGGTTTCTGGCGTTCATAGACGCAGGCCAATCCATCACCATGTAGGTAAAGGACCTGTATTTGTCAAGCCAAAGAACACTCAACCTGTTGCTAAAAGTACTCATCCTCCACCTCTCCCAGCCAAGGAAGAGCCAGTGGAGGCCCTGACCTTCTCCCGGGAACACGGGCCAGGAGTGGCGGAGCCAGAAGGTGAGAGCGGTAATGGATCATGGACTCTAGACATCTCTCTGTGTGTCTTTGCTTTGACTTCCCTGTTTATAACCCTCTAGAACAGAGTTTCTCAGCCTCAGCCCTATTGACATTTTAGAGTGGATAATTATTTGACTAGGGGCTGCCCTGTGTATTGTGAAATGTTTAGCCACTGCTCTAGAATAATATGTACCTAGTAGATAACAATATTCCATGGTAATTTCAGAATGTCGTCCTGCTGTTTGGGGGCTACTTTATCTTGGCATTTATTCCTGGAGAGTGATCTAGATCCTTCAGGGAATAGCCCTAATTCATTTCTTGTCTAGAAGGCCATTTAACAAATATTTATTTGTGAAGTGGAATCCACAGACTTTCAAAGTTAAAGCGTTAAAGTCTAATGGGCAGTCAGGGATCATGGAGGGTGAAATGAAGGAAGCTAAGAAATTGTCAGTTGAAGAGATCTGGTGACCACCTCGTGTGATTCTTCTGTTTACCCTCTGAGGAACCTGAGACCTAGAGAGGGGACATGACTTGCCAGATGTCATATAGAGAATATGTAATGCGACCTGTGACCACGGAGCACCTTTTCCCAAGGAAAGAGTTGAAGGCCTTCTACTTGAGAGGGAGTCTAGAGACAATGGACTTTGACTCTCTCTCTTTGACATTTAGGATGTGGGGTCATCCCTGTCTGTTTATATAAACCAACAGTATCTGATACTTCACGTATCTTGCTTACAAAAAATGTTCACCTCAGAAGGAACACACCTTTTAGATTTGTATGGAATAGACATATTTTCTCTAATAAAGCTCCTGTTGGCTTTTCGCAGTTGATTCTTAGGTCAGAATTCAGGGGGCCACTTTTGGGTGCTGTTGAGGAGATAGAGTGCCCAGGCTAGTGTTGTGTTGGGAGCTTGCCACAGCCGCCTTCTTGGTAAGGTAGGCTTTTTTTCTGAGCTCTGAACGTTTGTGTGTTCTGGCCTATTTGAGTCTATGCTTTCACTCACTGCATTTCTCCCTCGGTAAGGCAGAACAGACAGAACCTAAGCTGGAATCGACAGTTTTAATCAGTTTGCCCCTAGACAGTTAGTGTCATGGCCAGATGTTTGCAACTGTTCATTGGTTGCACAGGCAGGAGGAAATGGGCCGTAGTTCCAGATTTTGCCTCAAGACCTTCTTGGTGGTGGGTTAGGCAGAATAAAAGATTAATTGACTTTCTCCAACCCCAAGAATATTGCAACAATGATTTTAATTTGTCTGGTACCCTGATTGCTTTCAGGAGTGCTCCTACCCAACCTGTAAACTAATGTTTGTGGAGACATTGATTAACTTATGAGAAAAATCCTGGTGAATGTTGATCTAGGGCTTTAGAACTAATTAATATGAAGGACCGATTAATGAAAAGCAAGCCTTTAAAAATACAAAGGCATCACCAACACCCTCACAATAACCTTTATGATTGTGTAATGTATAATTTGTTCAGTATATTGATTCTAATCTCTTAATTGGCCCTTCCTGGCTTGTGAAATTCTTTTTTGTAATTTAGTTAGCATATCTTTCTGAAAATATTCATGGGCTTCATTAAAGATTGGAATACATCAAGAATGCAGCACATGCTCTCATGTCTCTTATTGAAATCAGTGACATTCTTTTTTAACATTGACACCAGAAAGCGTTGCAAACATTATATACCGTAAGGATAAGCCTTTAACCAATTAATGAAAACGTTTGTTTTCTAACATATGGAAAGTTCCACATAATTGAGATAAGGCATAAAATGATATAACGGAAAGTTTTGCCTTCTTTAGCTTTTTTAATTTTGATTTTGAAACAGTTTGCAAGACTTATTCACGTCTCCATGTGCTCCAGTAGCTGAGGAGTAACAGCACTGAGGGTTCTCTGTTAGTCATGTGTAAAATTCCCTAAAATGGCAGATGATCCTAATTCTGCATTTGCTGTAGTTTGATTCTTAATCCTTTTGCGGAGATACTGGACTTCTATTGCTTTTTAAAAATTGAAATATTTTTAAGACTGAATTGTCTTAAATGATACTAATACCGTTTTTCTTTTCTGGTTTTAGTGGCAACTGCACCCCCTGAAAAGGTAATTTATTCATTGTTGGCAAGTCTTTTTGTTTTCAACCCTCCAAATGATTTTCTATTAGAATATGTATGGATTTTTTAGACTTAACTTTAGTAACATCTCTATTATGCATCATTTGGTTTAAGTTAATATAGCATTTAGTTATTCAAAAAAAATTTATTGAGCCATTGTTATAGACTGGGACTATTCTCAGTGTTAGGAATACAATAGAGAACAAATAGGACAAAACTCTCTAATGAAGCTTCAATTCTAGTGAGAAGAAAATGAGGAACTAATGAGAATCAAGGGCATAAATAGAATTCAGTGTCACCTGATGGCCTGGACCATCTGTGAATAAAAGGCTGTGACATGCTTAGATAAGCATGTATTCTTAGAGCATATAAATAGTGAGGTACTTCTTAATTCAACTAAAATTTAACATACATATTTGAATTGAGTTGAATAAGAACAGAACTTACACTTAAAAGTTACAATCAAATACTAGAATGTTGCTTTTTGAAAAGTCAGTCTGTTGGCTTTTGGGCATAGAATGGGGCTATGAATTGTGAGACATTTTAGTAGCAAATGTAAACATTTACTGGATCTAAGTCCTATTTATGTAATATTGTTCCTTCTCTGAATCTGGCTTTCTTTATTTAATGAAAACATTCATTTTCATTAAATGAATGAACTTTATGTCAAGAACTACTATGATATATTGCTAGACTAAATTATCATTGCATTTTGAAATGGGATCTCAATGTACATAACAGGATTTAATTTTCTTTTTATCTCCTTCTCCATAATAACTACATGAAAATTAGGTAATTATTAAATATGTATATATTTATGTATCATTCTTTAAGCTGACAAGAATGCATTGTTAGAATTTAGATGAGGCAATGCATACATAAATTATTTTAAATAGTATTCTAAATCTTTATCTTATAATTATGGGATAGAATAACATAAATGTCATAATGTAAGTGCTGAAATAATCAAGAAAAAGAGACTGACGATTTTGGAGTGATAGCACTTGTCCAGAAAGAGGTTATAGTATTTTGAGCCCAAAAAAAGTGTAACAGATATGCATACTTTATGTGTACTTTTGAAACTCTTAGCATCTCTAAAGATCAGTTACAGAGAGTAGTTTGCAATTTTGTTGATTTTGAATTTAGTTCTGGTTGATATATGGAAGTAATTATTTAGCTTGTAGGTGGGCCAGCCAGCAGCCTGGCAGTCTCGTCATAACTCAGTTCTTCTGTCTTTATGATTGAATTTTATAACTTTCATTAAAAATCTAAAAGAGATCCTAAAAAATTGTCTTGTATACTTTTACTGCATTTTATTTGGGGAGGAGAGAGTACAAAAAATGCAATCATAGCCTTTGTTGTCTTGGTACTTACAAAAGTCTCATGATGTTATGTGATGGATGAAGAAAAGAGAGGATGCCCAGGATGTGCAAAGGTGTGGTGGAGGGGACAGCCAGGCTCATGAAAGACTTGGTCAGAAACAGAATTAGGGACTGCTTTGGAAAGCTAGAGTACCAAACTGCCATTGTAAATCAGTGGGGAAATACCCTGAGTCTCGACTGGACCCTATTTGTTAAACGTAGAAGTGGTGTAGATTAGGAAGTCTGCTGCCTCACAGTGATGGGGAAAATTCTGTCTGTAAACTGCAGGAGTGGATTAACACCTGATCCTGATCTGTTCCTTGTTGGCATTGGCCATGGCTGCAGGGAATGGGGTGTAATAGAGACTGGTTGAGGTCATCTCTAGTAAGTAATAGAAAGCTAGTCTATATTCTTAAGAAGACAGAGGAAATGTGGGGGAAACTGTTAAGTGCTCAATATTTGTAGGAGATGAATTTTGGTAGGACTACTCAAGTTAAGAAGAAAGAGGAAACCAGTTAGATTATTACAGTAAACTGAAAATGAGAGTGAGTCCAGCCTAGGGAGGTGGGGTCTATGGATATGAAAAAGGGTGAACAACTATAAGAAAAAAGTATCAGTGGATGGGGCTTTCAATGAAGAATGAAAGAGAGAGGACTAAAAAGTGACTTTAAGTCTGGATGGGACAGATTAATGACTGTGGCATTGGCAGAAATGAAGTTGGAATGAGAGCCTGGACTGTTTTGGAAGGGTGGGCTGGAGGTATCTGTGGGATACCTAAATGGACTTACTCTGTAAGCATTTATGCTTGCAAAGTTGGATTTGTGATGAGATATTCAGGCAGACTATCTTAGAAAAAGCAGAAAAGAGGTGATACTTGAAGCCAGGAGAAGAGGATAAGAGGTTAACAGAGGCCAGAGGAGTAAGCTTTCTGGAGGAGGACAGAACCAAGTAACTCGATGAATACTTGAATGTAGTGATGATATGAGCTCTCTGGTCCCATCTGGTGTGAGTGAAGGCTCAGATCCTTAACTAGGCTAATTGTTCAGTTGGCATGAGCCCTGCACAGTTATAACTGGAAGCTGAGCCGTGGATGATGGACTGCTGCTTTGCTTGAGGTCCAGGGGACAAGCTTGGGCACCAAAATGCGTGATAAAGCCCCAAATCCTTCTCCAAGCCAGCAGATTTCTGTTGCTCTGCCTGGCTACCACTGTTCAGAAAGCTGGAGTTGTAAAGTTATCAGATGTGAGGTTAAAGGAGGCCGTAGTGACTGACTGGTTTAAAATATTTTAACTTACCATGTGTTCTTTGTTATGGCACATCTGCTATATTCATTATTTAATCTGCAAACTGTGGCTGGTCATCTCAGTGGCCGCATGTGAATGAGGCAAAGGTTTAGTCCTCTTTGGGGGTTAGTTTTGCCCTATTGCAGACCAAATATGGACCCCTGGGCCAAGACATTTACTTACAAAGTCAGACTTTGGGCCTCAGGGAAATGGTTGAGGATATGTGCATGGATCAGCACCACTGGGAAAAGTTTAGGGCTTCCCATAGTAGCATCACATCAATGGTTCTTTTTTTTTTTTTTTTTTGTAATTTCACACAATTATACATGTAAGGTCTATGATACTTCTTTGCCTTTCTAAGAATATAATTAATTAAATAAAAATAGATGTGGGAAACTAAAAATAATTTCCACTTTCAACTCTTTTTTTTTCTTACTCTCTTTTAAAATACAACCATCCAGGAAATACCTTCATTGGATCAAGAGAAAACCAAACTTGAGCCTGGTCAACCCCAGCTGTCTCCAGGCATTTCAACTATTCATCTGCATCCACAGTTTCCAGGTAGCCTGTACTGATCTGTTCTGTTTGTCAGAGTATTCTGAATAAAAATGTAAGACGGAAAATTTTTGTCTTTGATTTTGTTTAGTAAATTACTAGGCTTCGTAACTGAAGTTCAGTGTTAAGTATAGTAATATACTGATGTAATGTTATAATTACAGCATTGTAAGTATTGCAGTGGTAAAGATAAGAGTTTTTTTACTGTTTTCTGTGATCCGGAGTGGTATATACTATTCAAACATTATCGAAGGTTATCATTTGATGAACGATCATTTTTCTTGGCTTCTGCATCACTCTCAGATATTCTTGCTAAATGTTGAACCTAGAGCTATAGATTAATACCATGAGCCTTAGGACATAGAACAGTTCTTCATATCTGAGAAATGCTGTGATATATTGCTAGACTAAATTATCCTTGCGTTTTGAAATGGGATCTCAATGCACATTAACAGGCTTTAATTTTCTTTTTATCCTCTACTTTCTCATATAGTAGTGATTGAAAAAACATCACCTCCTGTGCCTGTTGAAGTAGCTCCTGAAGCTTCTACGTCTAGTGCCAGCCAAGTGATTGCGCCTACTCAAGTGACAGGTTGGTGCAGTATTTTTACGTTATATATCACGTGGAGGAGACGTGGGGCTGAGCTTCATTTTAAATGTAGTATCAGTTGTATAAGCTTGCTCATGGCAGGGTTAGCCATAAGAGCAAATATTTGGAAATCATCTAAATACAGGTAAAAAGGAGGAGTATGTGTAAATAAATTATAGTACATATGAAACGGAATATCACATAGTATTAAAATAATGTTTGAAAAGAGTAGTTAATATCATGAGGAAATATGGCATAATCTTTGTTAATAAATACAGAATACAGGCTGGGTGCAGTGGCTCATGCCTGTAATCCCAGCACTTTGGGAGGCTGAGGCAGGTGGACCACGAACGGATCATGAGGTCAAGAGGTCAAGATCATCCTGGCCAACATGATGAAACCCCGTCTCTACTAAAAATACAAAACGTTAGCCAGACTTGGCGATGCACACCTGTAGTCTCAGCTACTTGGAAGGCTGAGGCAGGGGAATCGCTTGAACCCAGGAGGCAGAGATTGCAGTGAGCCAAGATCGCACCACTGCATTCCAGCCTGGTGACAGAGTGAGACTCTGTCTAAAAAAAAAGGCCAGGCACGGTGGTTCACGCCTGTAATCCCAGCACTTTGGGAAGTCAGTGTGGGCAGATCACTGGGTCAGGAGATTGAGAACATCCTAGCTAACACGGTGAAACCCCGTCTCTACTAAAAATACAAAAAATTAGCTAGGCATGGTGGCAGACGCCTGTAGTCCCAGCTACTCGGAGGCTGAGGCAGGAGAATGGTGTGAACCCGGGAGGCGGAGCTTGCAGTGAGCCGAGATTGCGCCACTGCACTCCAGCCTGGGCAACGGAGCGAGACTCCATCTCAAAAAAAAAAAAGGAAAAAAAAGAAAAAATACAATGTAATGATTACAATTTTACTTTTAAAATTTCTACAAACACAGAAAAAAGAAAGAAAATGCATCAGTGTTCAATTCTCACCAGTTAATACAGGATCACGGATAATTATGTTCTTTAATGTATTTTTATTTTCAAAGTTCTGTATAATAAACATTATTGTAATCATGAGTGAAATAGTATAAAAATGTTTTATATTTTGAAACAAATGAAAAATTCTAAATGTCCATATCCTTAATGTGTATCGAGCACTGATAAATCAATAGGAAAAATACTAACAATAGAGAAATGAAAAAATAATACAATCAGATAATTTGTAGGAAAAAACAATACCAAGAAGCATATAACAGAAAATTTCAACTTTCCTGGTAATCAAGGAAAGGCAAGCTAACCTAGGGTAATACCTATTCCTATCAAATTAGTATGTAAAACCTAATCAAACTATTTTTATCAGGGTGAGATTGAGACTCTCTCACATTACTGAAGGGAGTATGTGTTGGGGTTTTCCAGAGAGACGGAACCAACAGGATATATCCAGATATATAGAAAGAGCTTTATTGTGAGGGATTGGCTCACACCATTCTGAAGGCTGAGAAATTCCAGGCCGAGGAAAGCTGGTGTTGTGGTTCCAATGCAAACCCAAAGGCCTGAGAAGCAGGGGAGTTGGTAGCATGAGTCTGAAGGCCTGGATACTGGGCACACCAGTGTCTGAGGGCAGGAGAAGATCGATGTCCAAGCTGGAGCAGAGCAAATTGCCTTCCTCAGCCTTTTGGTTGTGTTTGGGCCCACCCCCAACAGATAGGATACCCACCCATGCTGCTGAGGGTGATCTTTACACAGTCTAACAATTCAAAGGCCATTTTCTTCCAGAAACACCCTCACAGACACACCCAGAAATATGTAATCAGCTATCTGGATATCCCTTAGCCCAGTCCAGTTGACTCATGACATTAACCATCACAGAGTATAAAGCACAAACTGGCGATATGTATAAAAAACTTTAGAACTATTCAGAACTTTTGACCTAGTAATTCTATTTTAAGACATCTTGTCTAAGGAAATAATGTTCCCAGAGGCTGTGGGTAGTAGTTTATATGAGTGGTTACCTATCACAGACAATGTACAATACAGAATAAATAGAAATCACTGAACATCCAACTACAGGGAAATAGATAATTATGTTACATCTATACATTGGAACATTATGTTGCCACCAAATATAGTATTTTTGAAGAATTTTTATTGAAAGATAGCAGGAAGTAGTCATGCAATATTGCTAAATTTAAGATGAAGTATTAAAAAATGAATGACATAGAGTATTATACCAGTTTTTTTTTAAAGACATATATACACTGAGAAAATGCTGGGAGAAAATACATTAGATATTAGCAGTGGTTATTTTTTGTAGTGGGATCTGAGAGATTTAAGTGTTTTATTTTAGTGTTTTTATTTTCCGTATTTTATAAACTCAACAGTTATTTTTAGAGTCAGAAAAAAATGTCACTAAGGGTCACATCATCAACTGTAACTGAATTCGTGATACCACTGCAGGATGAAGTTTGGCAGTGTGTTATAGGAGCTAAATGGAAGAGTTTGGAGCCTCCTTTAGAATATTCCCTCCTCAGAAACATATTATGGTTCCTTTCTAATAGAAATGTTCTCATATGTTAAGCTTTTGGCCACTTAGTGAGTCAGTAGGCCAGGAGCCTCGCTCTTCAGGGTGCAGCTGCAGTCATCTAGCCGCAGCTTGAGATCCAGACATCCCTGTGCTCTCAGAGGCCAGGAAGCCCCCCTTCTCCCACAAGCTCAGAAATGCCTGCTCTCACTCCTTGGCCTCTCCCTACTGCCAGCGCCTGCTCCAGGGTGGAGCAAAGTTGTGGCCAAGCCCAAGTGCTGTTGCAACCCAGCTGGGTATGCATGTGCTTGGGGCAGTGCTGACACACCAGCCCCCTGCCACCTCGGCCCCCTCTGGACATTGGACACCAATGAGCATGGAAGGGAGGCTGAGGGGAAGCTGAAGGTAGCTCAGTGTGGGCTTGCAGGTGCCCCTCAGCATGAACAGCCTAGGTGTGTGGACAACATGTTGATGGAGGGAGGCAGACAGGTTCCTGAGTGGAAAGGGGTGATTCCCCAGTGAAACCCCACCTTCAAGCCAGGAATGGCCTGAAGCCTGCGGGTCAGGCTGCCAGTTCCAGGTATAGTCTATGGTCCAGGGTGAAGACTTCATTGATAACAGTTTGGCCAATCGGATGGTGTTTTTCTATGAGCATACACTTGCTTCATTCTGAGCCCATAAAAACCCTGGACTCAGCCAGACTCACACAGATGTCAGGACTACCAGCTGTGAGAAGGAGCTACCCACTTTGGGTCTCCTCACCTTTTCGGGATGACCTGCCTACAGAAAGGAGCTACCCACTATGGGTCTCCTGAGAGCTGTCATGTCACTCAATGAAGCTCCTCTCCACCTTGCTCACCCTCCAGTTGTCTGTGTACCTCATTCTTCCTGGATGTGGGACAAGAACTCAGAACCCACTGAATGGTGGTAGTGAAAGAGCTATGACACAAATAGGGCTGAAACATTCCCCCCTGATCACCATGTTGAGGGTGCTGAGAAAGGAAGAAGAGCTGTGTCCCTCTGGGGAGCCCAAACCTAGGGGCTCCCCAAGCCAGGGCTGTAACAGCCTCTTTGGTGCTGTGTGGTTTCTGGTGTCTCCGAGCTTTCAGGTAGCACTGTGTCCACCATCTTCAGACACTGGTGCCTGCAGCAGAAGTTACTGCCAGTATGTCTGGTCCAGCCACAGCCTCACATGAATCCTACACCTGTGCTGGCACCTGGAGCTGCCCAGCCTGCCACAGCAGCTGGCATGCCTGGCTGTGTGTCGTGGCTGGACCACATGTTAGCTCACTTACACACTCCTCACCGCTCCATACCTGGCTTGCCCTTGGCAAGTGTGGGATCTGGGCTGGCAGCACAGGCCAAGCACAGCCTGCTGGGCTGAGTGGGTAGAACAAACTCAGTGGGTGCAACCAAAACTTTGGCAAAGGCGCCATTAGCCACAGAGGTTCTGGCTGGCAAAGTGATACCCCAGGGATCCTGTGACAAAATTATAGTGATTTTTTTTTTGATGGCCATGGCTAAAATTGTTATTCTCCATGCTGAGGTGATGTACGTATCTTCCCCCTTTATTAAGCACACTGATAAGAGACTGCTTCATGCTGCAAAGCATACAAGCAAATAATACACTGTTTTGGACAGCAGGGATCTTCTAATTGTTTATCGTAATGTTAAAAAGAAAAAAGTGCAGTAAGACATACTGTAATTCACTAGTTCTTTGGAAATACTGCATTTCCATTTTTCAATGTGAAGATAAACTCTAGTTTTGAATGAGTATGGCTGACTTAAGTGGACAAACGTCTTTCAAACTAGCTTTGTAGAGGTTAAGTTCAGCTAGATAAATGCAGTTTCAGCATTTAAATGTAGCTGTGTGAAGGGTAACAAATTGACCTTACTCAGCTTCAGCTGAACTGCAGAGCTGGTTAAAAAAACAATGAAAGTAGCCTTGCTATAGGAAGTTTTAAAACACAACTTGTTAGAAGCTTAATTTGAGTTTGGCAGAAATACAGGGCTGACATCTGCTGTCACATGTTTGAAGCATGAATGTATCCTTCCAGGAAACAAGTGATGCTGATTTTTTTTTTTTTTTTTTAATGCAACAGTTGCAGGTACTTCCACTTTCTGTAGTACAAGAATATTTCTGAAAGAATTCATAGGGGGAACATTATAGATAGAGAGTCTTTGAATTGAAATGGTTTGCAGCTTTAGAGCTGCACTATTACACAGTGATCTGTATTAGCACAAGAAGACTGTTCTGTATCAAATTTAATTTAAATCAGAAGTGTATGTTCCCATCGGTTACATATGGGGGCCAAATACAGATTTTAGGGGCAATCTCATCAGTTCTCTCAGGAATATTGCATAGTAGTGTTTTCGTCTCTAAAACACAGAGGAGGTAAATATTATTTGTTACTGTTAGTTTCTCCCATGGTTGAAGAAAGGGATAGAATAATACATTAAGAGTCTAAAATAAATATCATCAGCTCCACATTGTT